ATCAGGATGCTATAACCATGAAAAAGCTTCCTCCAAGTAGTTGCACACTAGCTTACATAACTTAAAGTCAGAAAGTCCACAGTCTCTGCCTTACAGGAAAGGCAGTGTTACATCACTCAGTTCTAGCTAACTACAAGTTGTGAGCAGGTCTAATTGCTCTCTCTAATCAGTGTAGAAGGAAGTGTTTTTCCACGTATCCTAAAAGAGGTGTGAGGTGTAGAAGAGATGACATTATCTGTCTCCAAGACACACGTAGTGATTCTTGAACTGGCTACTACAGTGTTGGCTTTGTTATTTTATTTTGTTGCATTTATCTATACAATGGACACTTTAAGAAGAAAGGCTACCGATATAACATTGTGATTCTACAAGCCACACCCCACCACCATCCCACAAGATGTCCTGTTGTTCTCGTGCCTCTAAATTGTTCTCTTGCCTCCACATTTTTTCCCCAATGAATTCATATTTTATTTCATTCTTTAAGCTAGATTTTTGCAAGAACTAATTTAACTTATACCGGTAATAACTTCAAGGAACATTAATACTCATAAAACAGTAAAGGAAAGGAGTTCCCAGATGCTTTGATATGTGTCTCTGCTCTCCAAGAAATTGCCTTTTCATCTCCTTGAAATCCTCTCTTTTCTTTCTGACAGACCTAGCTGTCCAAGATGGTGATTTGTGTGAAATTTGTGCCAATGCTGCCTGTGCTGGTTGCTTTTGAATTAAGATGAAAGAATCCAAAGAAGATGTGTCAAGCTAGGAACTTTGTGCATTCATATTGCAAGATCACATACTTTCACAAATCTATATATGGGCTCCATCTCCACTACAGTCAAACTGGAGCTGCTAGCTCATGTAGATATATACGGGGTAGTCCTGAAGTAATTGGATCAGGTGCCACCAGCAGTGCAGTTCTGTCAACAAGACTGTAAACCTCGTCTTTAGGAGAAAGGAAAGGACTTTGAATGAAAACATTGCCTTGTGTTTTTATTTATTGGTGGAAAGACTGTGAAGAAAGGATCTGCCCATGTTTATGTGCTGTATATGAAATAAAAGCTAGTAATGATTTGGGATTTTTTGGTTTATGTTTTTGCTGAGTTTTGGGGTGGGGTTTTTTTGTGACGGTCTGCTTGCCTACTCACTTTTCTCCTGTATCAGGTCTTTCATGTCTGTGTCTTCACTGGAATAAAAGATACCTTGTTTCTATTGTCCTGAACTCAAAACAATTTGCTCTTCCATCTGTGATCCTTATATGGATCACAGTAATACAAGACTACATCATAGCTTTTAAATTATTCCCTTGTACTTCTAAGTGTTGAATTATTATTTCCATTTCATATATACAAGGTCCTCAACTCAACAACTAGGTTCTCAGAAGACTATCAATGCTATAAAGCTCAGCACTTATCCCAGGAATTAGCTGCCTAAATCCAGAACTGATGTTAAAACAAACAAACAAACAAAAAACCCTTAGAATTGTTTTGGTTGGAAAAGACCTTTAAGATCATTGAGTCCAACTGTAAAGCTAACACTTGCAAGTCCACCACTACACCAGGTCCCTAAGCACCACATTTAAGTCTTTTAAATACCTCCAGGGATGGTGATTTAACCACTTTCCTGGGCAGCGTGTTTCAGTGCTTGATAACCCTTTCAGTGAAAGAATTTTTCCTAATATCCAATCTCAACCTCCCCTGCTGCAACTTGAGACCATTTCCTCTTGCCTATTGCTTATTACTTGGGAGAAGAGACTGACACCCACCTCACTACAACCTCCCTTCAGGTAGTTGTAGAGAGTGAGAAGGTCTCCCCTCAGCCTCCTTCTCTTCAGACCGAACAACCCAAGTTCCCTCAAATGCTCCTCGTAAGACTTTTGCTTCAGATCCTTCCCCAGCTCCGTTGCCCTTTTTTGCACATGCTTCAGCAACTCAATGTCCTTCTTGCAGTGAGGGGCCCAAAATTGAACCCAGCACTCGAGGTGCGGCCTCACCAGTGCCCAGGACAGGGGGACCATCACTTCCCTTCTCCTGCTGGCCACACTATTTCTGATACAAGACAGGATGCTGTTGGCCTTCTTGCCTACCTGAGCACACTGCTGGCTCATGTTCAGCTGGCTGTTCAGCAACACTCCAAGATCCTTTTCCACGGGGTAGCTTTCCAGCCACTCCTCCCCAAGTCTGTAGTCACGTTGCATGGGCTTATTGTGACCAAAGTGCAGGACCCGGCACCTGGCCTTCTTAAACCTCATACAATTGGCCTCAGCCCATCCATCCAGCCTGTCCAGATCCTCTGCAGAGCCTTCCTACCCTTGATCAGATCAACACTCCCACCCAACTTGGTGTTGTCTGCAAAGTTATGAGGGTGCACTGAATCCCCTCATAAGATATTAAACAGAGTTGACCCCAGTACTGAGCCCTGGGGAACATCACTTGTGACCGGCCACCAGCTGGATTTAACTCCATTCACCACAACTCTTTTGGTCTGTCCATCCCAACAGTTTTCCACTCAGCGAAGGACTGTGCCCATCCAAGCCATGAGTAGCCAGTTTCTGCAGGAGAGGGCTATGGGAAACATTGTCAAAAGCTTTGCTAAAGTCTAGGTAGACAATATCTACAGCATTTCCCTCATTCACTAAGCGGGTCTTCTTGCCATAGAAGGAGATCAGGTCAGTCAGACAGAGTCTTCAGCTAATCACAGTCTTGCTCAGAAGCAGAAAGCAGCTGACTCAGCTCAGTTATCTCACCTAATTGCACCTTTTGAGGGTAGAACTGTCCTAAATTAAAACATTAGCCAATATCCTCAAGCAAGTGTCAGATACCCTGCGATTAACGATGTATTTTTAGTCCATTTTTCCTCCTATAGCCTTGCTTCAAAGTGTATTCAAGGGCAAGCAAACTTACACTGTTTGCTGATGCATGTGTACAAAACCCTGACAATGCCTAGTGAGCATGAGTCTGGGCAAACACTCTGCTTTTGTAGACAACTCCACTCTGTCCTGACCCCACGCAGCACATACAGGAATGTCTGAGCATGAGAACTACCTTGTATCCCTGCCTAGATGAAAGTAGAGATGGCTCAGAGACTGGGAACTTTGTAGATTGGCATAACAGACTGAATTTTAGCATGATTGCTTGGACTGAAACCTGGGAAAAAGTAAAATGTGTTAAGCAAATGCTATGTAAGCTCATTCTAATTTGTTGGTCAACATAAAGAAATGCTAAACAGGTGATTATTCTATTTTGAAAAAAAGTATTTCAAGGTAAGGATGTAACACAACTGCATGGTATAAACTCTGATGCCACTTAGGAAGGAACGGACAATTGTACACTAATTGTCTTCGTTCTTCTCCATTTTAATTACAATTATCAAGGGACAGAAATGTAATTTTTAGAGCATGAGCTTTTGAGGACCTTTGTGATACAGGAGCCTGACACTGAAAGGGATTTTACATAAAACAAACTTGTATTCTATCCATATGAGAAATCTGTAAAACCACACATTATAGATAATGATGCTTTGAACTGGTTCTGGGATCCTCTTCCATGCTAAGAAATAAATAGACTTGTAACAACAACAAAAGCAACAACAAAAAAGCACTGCAGATCCTTTTCAGGATCATTGCCATAACCTCAAATTAATGTGAAATGTAGTAGAAGACCCTAAATAGAACAAACATATAAGAATTAAAAATATTCAGGTGATGAGCAAAGGTAGCTGTCCTTGATTAAACAGTGTGAGATAAATTAGAGACTAAAGACTTGGGATCATTTTCTAATGCTCTCTGGCTGTTTTCCTTCCATAACTGAAGTTGAGTGGATCTTGTTCAAAACAATTTTATTACATAAATTCAATCTTGAATTTTAGTACTTTTCCCCTCTAATTTAATAGCTCTCAAATTTCAGAAAATATTTTCATGGCCAATTTTATGCAAGTGTTCTACAAAGATACACTAAAAGGCATCAGATAAGCCCAGTAAGAAGGTTGGACCTGCTGCCTTTGCACAGTGTATTTTATCAGAAGTATGCAATGCTTCATTTCTGATTTATGGCTTTTATTGCAAATTGAAATTGTTGCCTTTGCTCTGCTCTCTGCGATGCCAATGGACATCTAATCAGATCAAAAGATGGAAAGTCATTATTGAAAGCTGAATTTATCTCACAAATTTCCTGTGGTGAACTCTTCTAACATTTCTACTACTTCTGTTTCATGTTCACATCCTTTGAGAACAGATTTTACTATGCTATTTAATTCTGATCTTAAATGTGAGTTTTAATTTTGGTCTAACACTGGATTTAAAACAACTTATAAAAGAATGTTCAGGAAATATGCATTTTGATGCTGGGCTATAAAAATCTACAAATTTTCCAAGTTTGTACCTGTGACAACTAAAAATGGGTACAGAGCATACATTCCCTTGTATGCATGAGACTGAGGAGTTCTCTCTTCCATGATCTTATAGATTATCTCTTAAGATTTAGAGTTTTCCTGAAAGTTCCACCTCCTGGATTTATGGGATTGTTTCAGTTTCTTTTTAACAGAGAAAAGTGAGGGGTTTAAGATTTTATTAGGAATGAAACGTTCTGGATATGTCTTGAGCACACATTGGAGCACAAATGTCAGGATTTTATGATTTTAACGAAAAACTGAGAACTGGTGGGCCAGATTGAAGATTTTTGAGAGCTTCCCCAGGGAAGGAACATCAATGCGTAAGTCAGAGCGCAAATGCCAGATACTAATGAGTGTGGCTAGCCCCATCAGGGGATCAGGACTTTGGGACATACCCTGTCTGGAACCTGCTGCCTAGTTTAAAGCATTTCACAGCCAACAGAAGCACAAATCTGGATGGACATGGAGTTTATAAAGCCCCCAGATGCCAGAATTGAAGCTGACCTTTCCTCTAGCATAGAAGCCTGGCAGGGGATATCTGTCATACATCACAGAGACATGGAGAGCAGAGCCCCCACTCCAAGTACTGAGCTCCAAACTCCTCCTCTCTTCCTCCTATCTCCATGTGAACTCAACACTGATGGAACAGAAAGAGGAAGAAAATAGATAACATACATAACTGATCATGATGAAACCTCCCATGGGTGGAAAGAGAAGCAATGAAAGAAAGACAGTATGGAATAACGCTCCTGTGTCCTTGCAACCACAGGTGTCAGGTCTCCCACTTCTGAGTAACTGTGGCATTGGTGCTGAGCATATTCTCAGCCTGGAGGAGAAAACCTGGGAATGCTTGTAGGAGACATGTTCTTAAACCCAAAATGCACTTCAATCCACTAACATGGATGAAAGCCATCGCTGCACTCACTCTGAAATGCAATCTGTCAGAGCAGCTGAATGTCCCCCCACCAGCCACAGTCCTGACTACCCTTCCATACACTATTATCAGGGTTTAGAAAGGTCTGAAGGCATTCCTTGTTGGGATATTGGGAGTTTGGAGGTCAAGTGGAGAAATATTGCTCCATATACAGATGTTATCTCCTGCTGTCATCCACGAAGACTGAGTGGATAAGGCCCTCCATAGACAGATAGGAGCAGCATCGTGTTCACAAGCCCTGGTCTTCATGGGGGACTTCAACCACCCCAATATCTGTTGGAAGGACAACATAGCAGGGCCTAAGCAACTTAGGAGGTTCCTGGAATGCATTGATGACAACTTCCGTCTCCAAGCAATTGAGGAGCTGATGAGGAGAGGTGTTATTCTGGACCTTGTTCTCACCA